AGGTCAGTAAACACAACCAGAATCCATACATAAGGCACACGGGATTATAAGGGGCACTGTCGATTATTAGAAAAATCAAAGGATTGATTTTAAGTGTGCCGTATTTTCCAAACAACACGGTAATAACGACAGCCCGCTAGCACGCTCTACCAAAAATAGTGCTTTGTTGTGTATCTGACGGACGAAAGCTAAACCAGTTCCACACCACTGAAGTTGCAGCAGTTTTACAAACCAATTCTGGTTAATCCGTTTCATTCAACGATCCGCTTTCACCCTTCTCATTCTCCGCCATGCTTTTTCCGCCATCTGTGTATGAAAACAAAGGCATTGCGCATGCACATTTTACCCATATTCTGTCGCAATATTTCATTTCCTTATCGTTGCCCAACATTATACTGTGAATGGTATGATATGGCCCAGCCCTACATAGGATCATTATTGCTAAAGTTTGGTGCAGTTAGGTGAAACTTTTAGCTTTATGTCAAACACGCAGTTTTTTTTCTTCTTTTCATTTATTTTGTTAGTCATTATTTCTATTATAATAGAATCAGTTTTGTATAAAATATGATACAGTTTGTGTCACAATGCCTGTTTGCACTGTTTAAACGTTCAAAACAAAGCTGGGGTTATTTATTTACTTTATATTAATGATTTTAACAATTCACAGAGTCATTTAGTGGATGATTTTACGACTAAAAGGAACACATAAACAGATATAAACAGTGTTCTGTTTTGTTTTTCTACATTAAAATTCTACACCTCTGATCCTTTCCTACCTTTTTTCCCCCTTACTCTCTTCCTTTTCCTCTATTTGTTATTTTGGTCCCTCCTTTGATGTAGATCATTATTTTCTCCTACGCATTTGTTTTTTGCCTTTGTCTGAATCTGCAAATTTATCTCCTCACTCTTTTTTCTTCTTCTCACTCCTTTGTCTTGCCTGCCACTTCGTACAATTTCCCAAGCCCCCTTATTCTTCATCCCTCCTAACTCGCCAGCTGTCGGTGTGGCCTCGAGCCTGGTGTTTTGTGGTGGTATCGGGTGCGTCTACGCCTCCTTCATGTTATAGATGGTACTAGAGGCCGGCTTTACTGCTCCAGCTGTCATGCTGCAGCGTTCTCAGTCTCAGTCGCTTGGCTGTAAAATGGAGCGCGGGTCCCCTGGGCGAGACGACTCCCAGGACATTACTGTTAAAGGCTTTGTCGTGACCCGCTGCTACTGACTAAACTATATATCACCTCTCTTGCTCAGACCAACTGCATTCTGCTCACGTCTTTATGGAACTGGGTCCTCTCTCTCACTCTCTCTGTATATCTTTCTTGCTCTCTTTCTCACATTTGCTCTTTCTGTGTCTCACTCTTTCTCCCCTCAGACGCACAAATCCATATATTCTACTATGCTCACTTTTGCACATTCAAGAGTATTTTTATCTTATCTTCATTAATCAGATACAACCTGTCTAATGTATAGCATCCACAACTTCCTGTGCCTTAGTATATGCAGACAATTTGTATGTAATGTGTATTTACACTGTATTGCCATCACATCCCATTCTTCATCCATAGGATGTTGACCAACCCTTTTTAACTACTTCAACTCTCTGGGAAGGCTTTCCGCAAGGTTTCGGAGTGTGTTTATGGGAATTTTGACCACTTTCCCAGAAGCACATTTGTGAGGTCAAACACTGATGTTTCATGAGAATGCCCAAAGGCGTTTTGATGTCAGGACTCTGTGCAATCCAGTCAGTTCTTCCACACCACATTTGCTCCTCCTTGTCTTTATGGACCTTGCTTTGTACACTGGTGCGCAGTCATAAGGGGCCATCCCCAAACTGTTGCCACAAAGTTGTGAGCAAGAAATATCAAAATTGTCTTGATATGCCAAAGCATTAGGAGTTCATTCCACTAAGGGGTTTAACCAAGCTCCTGAAAAACAACCCCACACCATAATCCCCCCTCCACCAAACTCTGCGCTTGATACAATGCAGTCACACAAGTAATGTTTTCCTGGCAAACACCAAACCCAGAAAAGTGTGAATCCCCACTTCGGAGCCCACATCTCCACTGCCCTAGAGTCCAGTGGCGGCGTCCTTTACACCACTGCATCTGATGCTTTGCATCGTGCTCGGTGATGTTAGGCTTGGATGCAGCTGCTCAGCTATGGCAACACCTTCAATGAACCTGTCTACGAACCTGTTCTTGAGCTAATCTAAAGGACACGTGAAGTTTGGAGGTCTGCAACGATCGACTATGCAGAAAGACGGCAAGCTCTACAAACAATGCGTCTCGGCATCCGAGCGATGCTGGCCACGTGACTGTTGATTAAAAGTGTTTAGCCTGTTGGTACACCACTGTGCTTCTGAAATATCGCAACTAGTGCTGAAGAGATTCCTATGAAATCTGGTACAGACATGCATAGTTCATAGAGGATGAAGGAGGCTCTAACATAAGCTGGCTAACACCACTATATGTATAAGTTAGCAAAGTATTTATTACAATGCACAGAGCTGCTCGTGTCAAGTTGCAGTCAGTCTTCATAATATGAGGCAAATCCTTGATTCAACTGTCACCTCCACTATTAACACACATACCATCAGTTTAAACCTTTTTTTGCAGATTGGCTCATTGTGAACATATACGCAGGGTTATTGATACAAAATCTACCCATTACTGCTGCCTAATAATGATTCTATGCCTCTGTCAATCACTCTGTTATCTCCACCTATAATTGTCTTGAAACTGCACTCCTCATGATTGATTAATTGTTTTCCTGGACTCGTGATCTTTTTTTTTCAAAAAAGAGATCATGACTGTCAAAAAAAACAAGACTGGCAATACAGAAGATTTTCTGCTGGCATTGCGGTCATGCACTCTCTTAAGTACTGATATAAAGAAGCTTCTATGGATTGCTTTCTGTGCTTTCAGAATAGCCTTCAACTTGTTCCTGTGTCAAGGTGTCAGTGTCTATGTTGGCCTGTCTGCCTGTTTTGCCATCCGTCTCCCTCCATCCATTTTGACGGCTGTCCAATGAACCATGAGACCAAATCAATTCTTCACTCATCCTGTTTGTCAGTCTTTCTGTCTGTGTTTGTTCACTTTATCACCGTGTCTGTCACTTTATCTCTGTTTCTCTCAGTCCATTTATCAATCTGTCTATCCATTTGCTCACGAGGAGATGGACATTGGGCTTTGCTGTGATTCCACCTCCTAGTTTGGACATGCAGTTGTCCACCTTTCTGTCCATCCATTTCAAGTTGACTATTTT